TTGTTTTAATTTCAAACTTTGTACATTACAATAGAAATGTTTTATCGAGAATTGTTTGAATTGCGATGAGGATCAAATGTGAATGGATATAGGAAAGAATTATAGGCAGCAGAGAAACTCGTTCTAGTGAATGCAATAAAAAGCGCATACACACAATAATAAACTGTTGTAATCACCGACTGAAAAAGGCCAATGGCAGTGTAAGTTGTATTATTTGTTGGGTTATCGATCAGTTCAATGATCAGTTGATCCATAATATCTTAAATCTTGGATCATCAAACTTCCATTGCTTGCGGTTTCGCATCAATTCAAAAAGATTCAGAAAGACTGTCCGGAGTATTGTAAATTTGAAACAAATATAAGCACAGTTCTACTATGCATTGTTATGGTTTGAGGGTGCAACCACTCGGTTCAAAAGGTGAACAAAAATGTTTCTTGCAATTCGGACGACGATTAAAGAAGTTTGTGGAATGATATTCAAAATGGTAAACTCTTGTTGTGCAGCGATCCTAGTTTGGTCCAAAGCGCTCCTGAGAGTGCTCTCAACATTTACCGATTCGTCACTGCTAATCTTTTTCTTTACTTATCGTCTCGTGCTGAAGGACTTGATATTATCGTACTGTCTGAATGTGATCTCTTCCTCTGCACATAACGGGAAACATATTCAGTTTGATGTTTTCGTATTCCAGCTATTTTACTGTTAAAAACTCATACATTTCCTTTGGCAATAACATTTTCCATTCCATTACTCATTCCCAGAATTCCGTTTGTTTGTTTCAGGTGAAAAAAAAGCGCTCGGATCGGACGAATCACATCTACCTAATAATAGATTGGAATGGCAAGAATGAAATGAAATGAACTTCATCGTTGAGTGAACAGGAAGATTGGAAGTTATCAGCTGAATACCAAAAGTTTTACCAGCTGCTTGTAACCGAAGATAATGAACATTAGACTGATCATCATTATCCCACATTGTAAAGCACACTAACTCAAGAGTGCTGTTTATCCACCACAATTTCATTCGATTGCTAGAATTACATTATTATTGCCGATTGGTAGGTCGAGTGTCCGTTCGTTATCAGGTTCGTGAAGTTGCTCAAGGATAATTCTTTCAAAACATTTCATCCATTAAATGATTGCCACTTTAAAATATTATGCGATGATCGATGACACTAATCAGTGTTGCTGTTTGTGGGTGATTGTGTTATCGTTGGTTGCCCTCTATTATTATTATTATTATTATTATTATTATTAATGTCAGACGTGGTTTGCTTTTGTTTGTTTATTTGTACGTTAATGCGTTGACCGCTTTGAAATTAAGACGTTAGTTAACAACGACACAAAAAGATTTGTTGCTGAGCATTCACCCCAATTTATTCATTCATTTATTCACAGATTCATTAGTTTGATCATCAGCAATTGTCGTTCGTTGATCAGTTAAGTCAAATGAAACACATTGAATGCGACGAATTGTGCTGATTGCGCGCTTGATTCAGTCAGTATCTTATCAGGAGTATGCTCGGTTAGATGGATTGTTTTTATACATCGCTATACAATTATAAGAACCCGTTCTCTTTCTTAACGTAAAAATGCTGTCCATCATTCGTCAATCTTCTTTCTATCTTCCAACTTTTCCGCAACAAGTACTAAACAGAAAACATTCATTTTATTCCCATTTTCTCGTCTGTTCTATTTTGAATTACTTTAACTCCTCACGACTCAGTAATCTTCTCGGTACGTTCAATTTCAGTTGATGCAAACCTTCACTGGCAGCATGCATTTCCGCTTCGTTTCATGTTGCCATCATCAATTTATTTCTTCATTTTTCTTTTACTTCCTCGTTCCATAGCAACACTTCACTCCCACCAAAAACAGTCAATTTGTAATGATTGCAACTTGTTATTCATTCACTTACTATACTCATTTCCATCTAACGCTTGCATAATCTTACTTTAGCTGCTAAGAAACGATCTTTGCCGCTATCATATTAACTTTCCTATGTGCATTTGATGTGTGGTGAAATTTTGAAAACGTCTTTAAAGCCGATCGACTACATGCAATAATTTAGCGAAACTTCTAAATTCAGATCACGCTTTTGACATAAATTCAAGAACAGCAAATAACTAAGCAAAGTATTTCTTAAAATCGTAGCGATTGATGAGTTGTTATGGAATGGAAAATAGCTCGTCATTATCGATGTATGTAACACTGGAAGTGACTTATTGATGAAACTTCAGTGCCTTAAATTTGGATAGTACATATAATTGGTATATGAAAGGATTCAGTCAGTTGTTTACTATTGGCTTTACCGTTCTCTATCATCTAGCATGGTTGCAAGTGGTTGCAAATGCAGAAGTTTGTTGTTGCATTTGTTTTGTTGCAGCCGCAGCAGCTATTTTAATAATCGTCATTATTTGTCAAGTGATTATAGCTGTCCTTGATAATGCGATGAAGAAATCTTGCATTCAGCATTGTTTATTTTGATGATAGTGGCAATATTGCGATAGCAT